GCGCGACCCAGATGACCCACACACCCATGGACATCTGGCATGCTTTGGCAGGCCTCTCAGTGACAAAAAGGTGTGGACCGGGGCTCAGACAGCCGCTTTCAAGCAGCGCCAGGCCACAAAAAGCCGCCGGATCGAGTGAACACGTCACTGGCACTTCCGTCACTTCAGAGACAAGGCCGCGTGGTGGATGACCGCAGCTACCTCGCTCGTTTCGTACGGCGCGCTCCGCCGCTACAACGTTCGCAGGTAAACACACTCGTCCCATGATCCGCCACGATTCCAAACCAAACCCACCACATCCGATCCACGCACACGGTACGTCTCAGAACAGAGCACCCGCGCCCGCGCCCCGAGCCAGAACGCGAACCTGTGTCCGCGCCCGCGCGCCCGAGCTCCCGCGCCCGCGCCCGCGCCCGGCCCCGCCCGCGCCCGCCCCGCGCCCGCGCCCCGCCGCGCCCGCGCCCGCGCCGCGCCCGCGCCCGCGCCCGCCCCGCGCCCGCGCCCGCGCCCGCCCCGCGCCCGCGCGCTACGTACCGCAGGTCCAGTTGATGCTGTAGTTGGGCGCCTTGCCGGGCTGCCGCACCTCTGGCGAGCTGGTGGCGGCCAGCAGGGGGGTGTGCAGCCGGTAGGGCGGCGGCAGGCCCTGCGCCGTCGGGCCGATCCTACCGCCGATGGCGCGCACCAGGTGTGACGGGTGGAACAGACTGCCCAGCACCACGCTAGCCAGGTAGATGGGCTCGATGAAATGGGCGAGCAGTGAGCCCTGCACCCCCACCACGTTCCAGCGGGCTATCTTATCGCTGCAGGACATGGTGAGCAGTCGCTGTCCCTGCCGGTCAGAGGAGACACCAGGTGAGGGTGAGGTCAGGGGGTCAGGGTGAGGTCAGGGGGTCAGGGTGGGGTCAGGCAATGCAGTTCTGTCAACAGAGAGTCACGATATCCAGTCAGAGAGGTCAAATCTGGGAGGGATCTCGGTCGGTCAATTCGACGACAGTGTCCCCCGTATGTGCAGTGCAGAGTAAAAAGGTACCGCAGTCTCACTGCCTTCCCAGATTAGAAGCTTCCAGCCCGCTATCCCGCTCCCCGCCTTGCTAAGTTCTCAGGCGCGAGTCAAACACTGTCGCAGGCTACAACCGGCTACAACCAGCTGCAACCGGACACACATTCACGACCGTCGCAGGCTACAACCGGCTACAACCAGCTGCAACCGGACACACAGTCACGACCGTCGCAGGCTGCAACCGGACACAGTCCGAAGATCTCTTCCGCGTTCTGCGATTGGCACACTGGCATGCCACGGAAAAACCGGTGAAACATGCGAGTGTTTGCAGAGGCACCACATGAGCGGAGTTTTCAATTCAAGGCCCAATTCGCTACGGAGCTTAACACCCACTTCACCGCAGACAGTCTCCTACTTAATCAGAATCTTGGCTAAACACCAGACCGAGCCAGCACCTGCTTGCTCCTCTGCGGTCTGGGCACTAGCACACCAGACACCAGTACCAATGCGGGCAGTTCCCATTCGTTTAACGTAAATACCTACTGTCTGAAAAAATATGTCACAGTCAGCTCCCGCAATACGCTATGCTTGCGTAAAAACTGGTTTGCAGCATATTCCAAAAAACATAAATCAAATGTAAAGCACAATAATCACTAAGCAGAGCCCTCGAAACACCTGCAAGTTCATCGAACAGGTTTCATTTTCGACGGAGGACAGGAGCACAGCAAGCCAACCAGCCAAGAAACAACAGTCACAGCTACACTTCCCAGACACCCGAGAAAAATGCACAGCCCAAGTAGCACGACACTGTAAATAATCTATATCGCCCCGTGTCCAACCCGCCGAGATCTGCAGATAGGCGGCGAGCCAGACATCTGATAACGCCATCGTCGCTCTGACCGGTACCCGCCTGGCCATTGCTCTCAAAGGCCGCCGGCTTCCGTGTGCGGCGCAATGGTCACAGTGCGACGGGGGTGGCGCAGCCGGCGCCCGGCGACGCACACGCAGCGGGCGGTCGCGCCACAATGCGCGTCGTGGCGCACCTTTGCGTGGTGTGAGAGCCTCGAACAGCAACTCCTCGCACCTTTTCTCATCCCCAGCTCACTTCCAAATTTTACACATAGAACACAAACATTCACATCAGATCGCGTTTCAGCTATGGACATCATGCACCCACTCCCAAACAATCCCCTGAATTACCTGTTTCAGGTCTGGATTGCCACGGACCTGATCCGAAACATCTCACCCCGGGTGTGGGTGACAGTGCCTCACCTGAAGCACCCCGTCCCAGGTCTGAATGCCGTCACTCGACTTGACCGGAATGGTGCCCTCCCCGGACTCGATCTTGGTGCGCAGCTGCCCCCGCGCCTTCCGGTTCGGGTGTTTGTCGGACGACTCGGTCCGCGTCTGCGCCTCGTGCGGAGAGAAGATCCTGGCGGCAGGCAGCGCGGCCGGCGGTCAGGGTCACCCCTCGGTCGGTCAGGCGGCACGGCCGGCGGTCAGGGTCGCCCCTGATCCTCGGCCGGTCAGGCGGAGCGGCCGACGGCCAGGGTCGCCCGTCGGTCCTCGGTCGGTCAGGTGGAGCGGCCGACGGCCAGGGTCGCCCCTCGGTTCTCGATCGGTCAGGCAGCACGGCCGGCGGTCAGGGTCGCCCGTCGGTCCTCGGTCGGTCAGGCGGCGCGGCCGACGGCCAGGGTCACCCGTCGGTCCTCGGTCGGTCAGGGTCCCCCCTGCAGCCCAATATGCAGGTAATAGCGCGCCGGACCGACGACCGGGCACTGGCGTGACACACGCGGAGCGGCGTTGCATATGGGCGACCGCGAGCTCAGTGATGACGACTGGCGCGGAGATCATAGACACTGCGTGTAGAGAGCGCCCGCAGGTGCCGAAACCGGGCACGTCTATGGGTCAATTGCAGTAAAAAACGCACAGCGCCCTATGATCTGGTAAGCTGCCTCATTCCCCCGCTCATGGTGGCTGCGCTTGAGGCACAACCGCGCGGCGGTAGATGAACTGCAGTCAACGAGAATCACATCTCGCGTTCCTCTGGAGCGTGCAATGAGCGCTCACTGCGTCAGTGAAACTGCATCCCCCGAGGAATTAGAAGATAAATTAAAGCACTGAAATATTACTGTTATTTTTTAAGTAAAACAAACATTTAAGCGTAAGGTGAGCATTGCGGAATGATGAACCGCAACATACAAGGTATGAAAATCTCGAACAGTTTGCATGCCACCATGGAATAGCAGGTGCCATAAACGTTCCTGCGCCAAAGATCCCCTCCTATTGTCAGCCATTGTTCGGCACGTCCTCACACACGCATCCATAGTTGCTTCTACAGGCTCATCAGCAGGCCAACACGCCCACCAAATTACGTATGCGATCACGAGTCGCGCCATCTCTTGGCGGCAGCCAAAAGCTGCGGTACCTGGCGTCGCCGCACGGCGCCGTGTTGATGTACAGGTGAAACTGGACGTTCTCCTTGAGGCGGTAGCCGCGACCCTCTGGCCTCGGCTCGAATATGCTGTCGCTCTCTGTCTCTGCCGGCAGCCAAGACACGCATATCGTTAGCGGCCAGACGGGTGGCGTCGGTGCTGCCGCCAGGGAACACAAACAGAGGGAGAGGCGGCGGCGCGAGCTGAGTGCGGCCGCTGCCGACGCCCTTGGGATGTTCCGGCCGACCCCCGGCGGCCATAAAGGCCGGACGGAAATATACCGCGGGAAACGGAGAGAAAACAACTTCAGCGGGCTATGAAGGAGAGCGGTGCTGACGTCATCACGAGTCCGGGCTGGATAGGTTGGTCGGGATTTGCGATGTCCGGAGGCCACACACAGAGCAGCCCATGACACACAATATGCGGATAAATGAGACCAGTTGGTGCTCGAAATAGAACAAAAGCAGCATTGGTGAAATACAACTGCATCACGCACGGAAAAACATATGTCTTCTATGCATTATGTCAACACGCTGTACAATTAAAAAAAAAACTTTTTGAACAAGCTCTACGCGCAAGGCTAACAACAATATAAAATCCCCAATTAAACCATAAAAACCGCTGACGTGAATTTAGTGATACATATGACAGTGCTGCCACACAATATCCGCGCTCCGAAATTCAAGGAAGAAACGTCCCCAGCTCCGCGTCTCGTGCAATAACCGACTGCCGTCGTCGCCGCCGGCGCGCTATTTCATCGGCGCCTTTTTAGTGCAGATGATAAACGAGAGCCGGCGGAGGGTGGCGGGGGCCGGGAGGGGGAGGGGGCGTGGGATGACGAACCGCGGTAGCGGCAGCGGCGGCGGCGGCAGCAGCGGTAGCGGCGGAAGCAGCGGTGGCGGCGGGTGGCACCGGCAGGGGCAGCGGCGGCATCGGCAGGGGCAGCTGCAGGAGCAGGAAGCAGGGGCAGCGGCAACGGCGGCGCCCACGCTCGCGACAGGCGGACGGACAGCCGGCTGGCGCATTGATTAGCGCGAGGGCGTCGGCGCGTGCTCGGACGTGGGCCGCGGACGGCACCAGGCAGGTGTAACAGGAGCCGGCGCCCGTGCCGGTGGGTGGACCCAAATGAGTTGGTGGTCCGGGAGCCTGTGGCTGCAGGGGGTGCAGCCCGGGCCGCGAGACACCAGCGCCAGGCACGCCGCAGGAAACGGGCCGCAGGCGTGGGGCACCGCCGGCGGGATGTTTGCAACCCGCTGTGGCCCACACGGCACACAGCCGCCCCGAACACACCAAAACTTGTCGCAGTCCTGTTTGCGCAAGTCGTGGACTCCGCAACAGCATTTACCACGCCACGAACAGCTGGGGAGGGCGACGCGGCGCACTGCTCGGCGTCGCCAGCCGCCCTTCTCGTCAACAGGCCGCCCCGGGGCGTGCACGCGACCATCACCGGTCCGGACGACACACTCCAGCCGGCAGCCGCGGCACCGTCACCCTGACGCCACAGACGCTCCGACGGGGCGATGCACGGTGCGCGGCCGACGCACGCGTCCAGGAACGCGGACCCCACGTCACGGAGGCCGCACCGCTCGCGAGCGCTCGGACAGAGGTCCGGGATGACCGAGGAGAGATTCAAAGCCAATCTATGCGAGCGCGGCTCGGCGGCGACAGGTTGAAGCGGCGCGCGACTAACGACCCGTTCTTCTGGCTCTTCAGCGGTGACACCGCCGCGCCAACAACAACAGAAGCGAAGGGGACCGCCGCGTGACCTGCCGTACGCGACACGGCGGCGCGGGCGATCCGTTGGGCGTGCGTCACATGCGGAGGCGGCTCGTGCCGCGGACCGCGGTCCGGACGCCGCGCCCTCCCCGAGGTGAAGCACCGCCCGGCGCCAGCGGCGCCCTGTCCGCCGACAGCAGAGTCGCCCATCGGGAGAATCAGGCGAGCTCGGAGCGGCTGTCACAGATCACAGGCGACCACAGTCAGTACTCAGGCGGTCGGCCCGGCAGGCGACAGGCGGCAGCCGGTCCGCCCGGGCCTCACATCCGACCGCCGTCCCAGCTGGCTTCTGTCGGTCTTCCGACGAGGGCTCGCAATTTGTCCAATCAGCCCTCTGATCGGCACCCACGCGGTCCCGGCCAGTCCTCCAACTAGCGTTCGGAGATTGTTCGATCAGTCCTCTGGCTCTGATCAGTACCCGTAGATCGTCCTGATCAGTCCGAGTAGCATCCACAGTCCCGCGCAGTCACCCCCCTCCCCCCCCCCCTCTGTCCGCCACCGGGCGGCGCTGCGGCAGCGCTGAGGGGCGAGCCCCGCCAAGGAGAAGCGGGGCGCCGCCACCGGCGTCACGCGCCATCGGTCGGCGTCGGCCGGCGGCGGAGACGGCTGACGGCCCCAACCCGATCACCGACACAACAGACCGGTCGAGAGGGCAGAGAAAGGAGACGGCGCGCCCGTCCAGCCGGCGCGGCGTCTCGGCTCCGGACGGCGACGGAGCCAATGCAGCCAGAGCCAAGGCGGGCTGATAGGACGGGAGCGGTGGAGCATTGAGGCCAGTGGAGGCTCGGACAACACAAACACACCCAATAAACGACGGTCGGGGCGGCCGCAAAAGGCAATCGTCTCGCCAGAACCGGTCCGTCCGGGACCAGCAGACCACGGGGAGTCCCCAGCGGAACACACGCAACACGGGGAGCGCAAAATCGCACCAAGCAGCCGCCGGCGCCGCGCCGGGTGTGCCGAGGCGGCGCCAGCCACCCGCGCGCGGGCCGGACACCATTCCGTACCGCCGGCCGGCCCGGGCAACCGATGGCCAGCCGGCGGCGCTTGGCGCTGCGGCCGCGGCGGAGCTCGTTAGCGGGCCCGCGGCGCGGCCGGCAGCCGAGAGGTCCGCCGTCCAGTGCCGTGCAGCCGCCTCGCGAGGCACCGGCACGGCGGCTCGAAAGCAGCAAAGCCAGCCGCCAGCGCGCCGGCCCGAGCCGCGCAAGCGTCGCCACCCGGCATCACCCACCACCGCCGGGCGGGCCCTCCACTGCAGCGGCAGCTGTCGATACCCACAAGCCGCCCTGCCCACCAGCCGCGACCCAGCACAGTACGGCCAGACGCCGGGCACCGCTCGTCACGACGATACGTGGGCGAAGCGACTACCAGCGGTGAGAACGGCCGTCCGCGGTGGACCGCCCGCGGTGACGACCGGCGGTGACGGCCGGCGGTGACGGCCGGCGGCGCGCGGCGGGCGCGGTCACCTCGCCATCCACGACCTGGCGCCAGCAGCAGCTCCAGCTGGCCCGTACAGTAGTCCAGCAGGCAGCGCCGCGTGATCACCTCGGCGTGGCAGTCGTTCCAGGCTGTTGCCCTCCACGCTCATGTGCTCGCCGTTGATGCACTTTGGTGCCGGTGGAGACAGAGATGACCTTGACCTCGGACATCTGCGGCCCGGTGGTCATCACCAGGCCGGCCAGCACTTTGCGCCGGCTGTGCGACTGCTGGCTCTCCATCAATGTCTGGAACTGCTGGTTGACAACCCTGGTGGGGCGAGGGTGGGGAGGGGGCGTCAGATGTCGCTTTCGCGGGACGAGGGCGTGCGCGCGCCCAGCGGAGGGACAGGGAACGCACAAGAGTCATTAGACCACATGGATAGGTCGTTAATGCCGGCAGGTGCACGTAACTGAACACACGGGCGAGGGTGGCGGCCAGATTGAGCGCGTATGCGACATGACATCAATATACGATAGCAACAATGATGGGAAATCCAGCACCGCTAGATTAATGCAATACAGGCTCAGACGGCATTTGATGACGGCTGGTTGATTTTCGGGGTACTTTCGGCTAACAATGATGCGACAGTCTGGACAATCTCAAGCACCTGGGCGTGGCAGTCACACTGGACACACTAGAGGACCAAACAAACTAGTGGTACACACGACATCTTAAATAACGACACATTGCCGTCGCGTATATAAGCATAGCATGCAACGTCCTGGACGTTCGCATATTCCGTAATGCACAGCACATGGCGGGCTTCACACGACAGGCGGCACAGTATCCAGTATACGCAACAACGGTGCGGACAAGCTTTCAAACAAAACCAGACGCAACAGCGAACCAGACGATCCATTTTCCGAGTCCCACACCAGTAAAGGACGCGGACGGCTTGACCAAGTCATTCGTGCCCCCTCAAACGCCCCGGACCACCCGGCCCGGACTCCTCCCCAGGAGGTTCCGATGGCGACCGGAACTCACTTGGATATGTGGTCGGCCACCGTCTGCGGGAAGCTCAGCTGTTCGCTGAGGTCGGACGTGGAGCCGTACGGCGAGTCCGAGCCGCCCACTGACGCGTAGTTGATGAACGAGTAGTTGTACAGCTTGCTGAGCGCCGCTTTGGCGGCGGCCGCTTTGCCGAGTCGTTTGCTGGGGCCCTGGCGGGGTTCCGGGCACGAGTTGGCGGGTGTGGCGGCTCTCCTGCCTGGCCGCGCGCGGCGGCCACCGAACCCCAGAGGGGATCCACCGCGTTCTAAACACACATCGACAAAACCCGCACCACGCGTCGTTCAGGCCGCATTAGGCCGGCCGTCCCGACGCTAATGCGTACAGAGCTGTTTTCGACTGGCGGCCGGCTGCGTGCGCCCGTCGGTGGCAGGCCATCCGTCATGCCGCGTCCCGGCCGGGCCGGCCGGGCCCGGCCCAGCGAGCCGGCGGCACAGCCGTGGGCCGACGCCCGGCGGCGAGGGTGCCCGTGATCGATGGTCGCGATCGAGGCCGCCGGCGGCGCTCATCACGGCTACTTAGCACACCGCCGGCCGGCCGGTCCGCCGCGGCCGGAATCACATCACGCCGACGGCACACCGGCTTCATCATGAGTGCCTTGTCGGTGGCGGGCACGGCGCTCCCCGGGGAGTGGGCGGCGGTGCGCGGGTCCAGGCATCAGCTGGTGTCCATCGGAAGTGTCCCCCGAGACGCGCGGGGACTGCCCACGGCCGGTTGACGTTTACTGGCCCTGTGCGGCCCGCGGTACCGGAGCCAGATCGCTGTCATCCCGCGCCGCGGTGGGGCAGAGGAGGGTCGCCAGCCCCGTCTCTCTTTCCTGGTGGCTTATCGCGGCCTTCCGCCGGCTGACTCTAGTGCCACATCGTAGCGTGTTTTGCTGTGCCAGGGCCAGCCTATCCTATCTCCGAGAAAAGTGTCTGTCCGTCCACGTATTTTTCCATCTCTCGTTCTCATGTGGGCCGATCCCTCAGCCTACCTCGTCCGTCTTGTCCTCTTCCATCACGGCTTTCCTATATCTCTTTCACCCCATCTCCTTCGTGCCAAACGACAGCTGAACTTCTCCGCCCCGAACGGCCTCTCATCTCCAACCCCGCGTCGTTCTTCGATCGACAAGCGCCGACTGGCGGCAGCGCCGGAGCGTCAAGCACGGGGTTCGGACCGCGGCGGCGGACGGCGACGGCATCGTCTTCACACGGAGACCAGGCCGCAGAGACTCCCTCCGTCGACTGTGGCCCGGGACAGCTTCCCACGCGGGACAATCCTTGACCGGCCCGACACAACGCCCGGCCTGACAGTCGCAACGGGCCGCGCGGGCGCTTACAGCCGCCCGCCGCGGGACGGTGGCTGACGTACGCGCCGTGCCCCGCGCATCCTCCGCCACCGAGTCCGGCAGAGCGGCGGTGCGGCGTCTCGGTGTCAGGCTGTGTCCCCATTTCGTCCTGATTCATGCCGGGCCGGAATGACACATGCAGACCGGCATACATTATACGGCCGCAGCGCCTCCGCCCGCCGTCCCATTCCGCCAACGGCCGCGATAGCGCTGCGGTCCGCCGTCGGAGCTGCGGTCTTTCGGATCCGCCGCTGCGGTCCGCCGTCAGTCCGACATTGGAGGGGAGGCGAGGGTCGTGACCGACAAGGCACGCGCTGACGGCCCGGGCCTATCCGAGCATGGCACGACCCACCGACCGGGCAGTGACTCACACTGCCGACCAGCGAGGCCGTCGCTCGATGCTGGACAGGGCGTCCAGATGGACAGCTGGTGACGCCGGCACCAGCCGGTTATCAGCAGAGTCCGAATAATTTCCGCGCGGCAGCCTAGCGCAAGTGGGAAGGCAGCCGCGGTCGGCGCACATTCCAGAAGAACGGTGTGGCGAGGATCGCACCAACAGCTATGGACGGCACTGTATCTGGGGAAAGCGGCGGACGGTATTGTATCAAGGGGGAGGAGAGACCGGCCGGCCCTGTCGCCGGGCCTTTACGACGCACTCAGCTGCTGAGACGATGTGGCGTCGCCTACCTCTCACCCTGGCATGGCGCGCACCACGAAGAATCGAACCCGTATCTCTGGTTTCCTAAACGCGCAGTGGTTAACGCAGACGCGCTGACCACTACACCACCGACACGGCGCGGGCAGCTCCGTATCCAGGGTGCAGGAGGCATCGGACGTCTGTATCCAGGGGGCGGCCAGCTCCGGTCAGGCATGCGGTCGCCGAGCCAGCGGCGCAGCAGGCGACCTCTTCACGCTGCCACCGTGCCGATCACGCAGGGATAAGCTGCTCAGAAGCCGGGTTGTACCGTGCGTCGGGCTCGCCCCCCAGCCTCTGCCGGCACGTCATGCCTCACCGCACGAGGCCCATAGCTAATCACGAGAGCCGGGAGGGGGGCGACAGCCACAGGGGAAAACTACGACCTCGCAGCGACGCCGAGCGGGCCGACGACTTCCGAGGCCTCGGGCTATCGCACCGGAGATGAACGGCCTGGGCCCCGCGCCCTTCAGGACGCGGATGACAAGACCGCGGCGTTTAGTGTCACGCCAATGGCGGCCGTATGGCACGATTTATTACGCCGTTTCAAACTGACAGACAGCAGCCGCGTTTCCAGCCCAGCCCCAGCCTGGCTCGAACCGGCGCGGTGCCAGCACGTTCGTACACAGACGAGCCGAGCGTACACAAGCAGGCGTTGCCGGATCTACTGGCGACAACGCGAGGAGAGCTCGTGAGAAAACGAGGCCGCGGCGGTGTGTAAACAAACGACGCGCTCGATTTCCTCTCTCAAAACGCCATCTTGAGGCACAGCAGTCTGGATCCTCAGCGAGTGGAGAGAGCGCATCCTCCTAATCGCGCGTCCCAGCAAACTTTCCTCGGAGTCGCCGCGAACTTGGGCAACTCCTCTCGGCGCCAAATAGCGGCGCCGCGCCCCAACCCGAGTTGGAGCCGGCGACGCCGCGGCCGCCACCGGCCGGGGATGAGGCACCTCAGAGGTAAGCGTCACACCCGGACGCCAGCCGTCCATCGCGGAAAACTTCGCCGCCGCGCGTCAGCCAGGCCGGAAAACACTCCCCACCACGTCGCACGCACGCACGAGCGCGCGCGCACACAGACACAACGACGCCGCGCCACACGCGACCGGCCGCCGGCTCGCCTCGCCACTCACCGACGCCGGTCAAACTTCTCGCCGTCCACGTGCACGCTCATGCTGAACTTCTTGGCGTGCGGCTCGCCGCTTTCCTCCTCCAGCTCGTACTTGAGGCCGGGCCGCAGCTCGTTCAGCAGCTGGACGGGGTTCTTGTCGGGCCGGCGTGAGCGTCAGGCGCGGCCGTGGCGCCGCCACGCCGTTGCCGTTGGCCGCCGGCTGCCGGCGACGCGAGGGGTGGCGTCAGAGACCGAGCGGGCGGTGGTGCGGCGGTGTCGCAGGCCACCAATGGGTGGTGCTGGGGTCACAGGGCGCACCAACTGCGGCAGCACCACTGGGACAGATGGACATGGAGCCGCTGCCCGGGTCGAAACACGGGACAATATTTGAGACCACTAAGACCACTGACCACTGAGACCAAACCACACTGGGGTCTTACGACGCACTCAGCTGCTGAGGCTATATGGCGTCGCCTGCCTCTCACCCTGGCAGGAAGGGCGGGCATCGCGGGGAATCAAACCCCGTACCTCTGGTTTCCCCTGACGCGCAGCAGTGAACGCAGACGTGTTAACCACTGCGATACCGGCACCATATATATATATATATATATAATATATATATATATATATATATATATATATATATACATATACATATCTATATACATATACATATAGATATACATATATATATATATACATATATACGTTCTATGTAGATGTGTATATTCATATCAGTAAACCATATTACATATAAATGTGTATATTCTTTTTGGGCAAACCAACCAAAGTATACAGCACGCATGCATTTTCCTGAACGGCTTTTGAGACCGCAAGAATGCTTCCAAATTTCGCCAGAGGATCTCATACGTTTTCCCGGCCGTTATCCACGCACCCGCCACCGACCAGCCCCCTCCCTTCCGCTTCCACCACCCACCACCATTCATCAGCGCGCACCCTGTGTACACCGAGCAATAATCGCGCGCGACCACCACGCCCCGCGCCTGTCAACAGGCCTCCAGAGCCCAATAGCCATCACGGCTGTCGCATCAGCGGGGGGGGGGGGGGGGCACGGTCCCTTGCCGCGGCCCCGCCGCCACCCACGGGCAGCGCCGGCTGCGGCGGTGCCCGGCCGACCAGTGGGGTGAGCCCGTCACTCGCCGGCGGCGAGCCGCGCAAGACGCCCCGCTTCATTCGTTAATTCCCTCATCCAATTAGCTGGCTAATTCGTGCAGGCCCAGCTCCAGCCACTCGGGCCCAGCCCAGCTCCAGCTCCCAGCCACTTGGAGCGTGACCAGACCACGCAGGCCAGCTTTGCGGATTTGTTCATCGACTAAACTGTCACCTCATGTTCCCAGACTTCGTGCGTCAGCAGATGCAAAGATTATGAGTGTTGGCATGCTTAATTCAAATGTGCAATTTTCGCTTGGGTTTAAGGCAGCACGCTTATAGCTACAGGTACAGGACTATAGAAAACATTCATCGTCGACTGCCTGCCATGGCAATTAGGTATGCAATATGTGGGACGACTGATCTGCTCGAGATGAAGGGGGCCTGATTCATTATACAGACGCTAATTGCTTTGTTCACAAGCGGAACAATATTCCAGCAGCTCAATGATGTTCTCGTCTTTAAATTTCACACTATTGTAATTTGCTATGGAAACAGCAAACAGAAGTTCAAAATTCCAACAGAAAAGCGGAAATGCTGATCTTAGGCTCACCCTTGTACTCCAGCAGTCATTCAGTATGCTAGTTACACCTGCAGCCACCTGCATTCCAAAACACAATCCGTCGAGGTATCCATCAGGGAGCGGCACAGCCAGCCTTCTTGCTCGGCCGGTGCTCGGCCGGTGTTCGGCCTGTGCTCCAGCCGGCGCAAAACCCCAATTTCACGGTGCACCGACCCAACGGTCAACAACACCATCCCCACACAGAACCGGGCGTTCTTCGACCGGCGCCGGACGGAGCCTTCGACCCGCCACGCATCAACACAGCGGGGGGGGGGGCGACGACAAAGGCCGCTGGGGGGGGGGGGGGGCGACGACGACGGCCGGGGGGAGGGGGGAGGGCGGCGCGCACTCCAGAGCAAACAGCCGCGTTCCGTCTGGTCGCAGCCGCGGTGGGCCGGTGCTGAGGCCGAATCCGGTCTGTTTACGGCTGCTGCCGGCACGGGGGGGGGGGGGGGGGGGCTCCCGGACGGGCCGAGCCGCTCGCGAGCCAGCCGCGCCCAGGGTGCTGACACCAAGCCGCACAAAGCCTCCCCATACCCAGGCCGTAGGCTCGACACGGTTCTCCTCCCAGCTCCTCCCAAGAGCGGAGCGATTTCCATCGAATGCGCACGTAAATTGGATTGATCCATTCTCCACACGGCGCCGATGGCTGCATAGATATCCGATAGCTGCACACGCTGCACACAGACCGACACCACGTGTGCCTGCATCTCGCCCCCCCCCCCCCCCCCCCCCAGACACGCCAGCCACCAGCAATCCCGCCCCCTCCGGCGGTGACGCGGTCCCACGCACCTCGCGACCGCCGGGGACGACATGACCTCCCGGCCACCCCGCGCCCGCGCCCCGCGCTCTGCCATACCTCCGCGGCGGCGTCGGCGTCGCCGGCCGTCTTGTTGAAGACGAAGTCGTGGCCGGACACGCCGACGTCGGCCGTAAAGTCGGACGTCACCGGCGCCGGGTTGATGGCCAGCTGGAAGTCCGTCATGTTCTTGAACTGGATGAAGGAGCGCAGCGCCGCCTCGGCCGCCGTCTGTTTGGCCTGTTCTTGGAGCGGCCAGTGCCCACGTACTCCTCGCCGTTCACCTGCCGGCCAGCGGCGGTGCGTTGGAGCGCCATCGCTCGAGCTGTGTGGGACACCATTCTTGGACACCACCACCACCAAGTCCATACCATCGGACATTCATCCTCGGACATCACACCGCGAGGTGGCACGGCGCAGTCAGCAGCATCTGGATGCGGGTGGGGTGGGGGCGGCGCGGTCGGCAGCGTATAGATGCGGGAGGGGTGGGGGCGGCGCGGTCAGCAGCATCTGGATGCGGGTGGGGGGGGGGTGGGCAAATGTTCGAATCCGACTGCGACCGTTTTTGGTTATTTTCTTTAGACGAGCCAGCAGGAGTTGAAACATATGCCGAACAATAAAGAGGGTTGAGAGGCATAGTTACGGGTTCCATCGCTCATGCGCTGCTGAACGAATATAGCTTGAGTACATTGTGTACGGTACATGCCCATAACTTCCAAAACTGATAGATACACAGCCCCCAAATGACCAGGTTACACGAAAACGAACAGAAGCAGACACAGGCATGACAAACATGCTGCCACAAATACGCACGACCCGAGGCACACAACCACACACCATGGGCTCCGCAACCCCGACCTCGCCTAGCCTTGGGCGACATCCTGGACGGAAGGCCTCCCAGCTCGCACATGCCTCTACGGCAGGCGGCGCGGCAGGCGGCGGGCGCGCCGGCGGCCGCGAGCGACACCGCTCGCGCCCCCGCAGCCCTATCTCGGCGCCGCGCCGCTTCGGCGCATCCATTACCGTATTTGTGTGCCCGGATGTGCCGGGGCCACACCCACCGGCCGGCCGCCGATGGGCTACGAGAGAGCACCGATAGCCGGGGGGAACCGAGAGAAAGGGAACCGTGCGCCGGCCGACGGAGCGAGCGCGTGGGGCGAGGGGGCCAGCGGGAGAGGTGGCAAGGAAGTATGAACATGAGGAGTACGAAAACAAGAATGAGGACGATAGAGGAAGGAGGACCAGCCGAGAACAAGAACGAGGGCGGTAAAGAGAGAGCCATCGAAGGTAAGCTGGCGTCATACCAGCTTACCGACATTTCACTAGAGCGGACTGAAGAGAAGACCGCAGCTGGAGCGGGGACGGAGCGTGGCAACGACACGAATGGCGCGAGAGCGAGTGTGAGCTGTTTCGAGGGCCGCCGCCGGAGCCGGCCAGAGCAGTCCGTAGGCCCAATTGATTACGCACGGCACGCGAGGCAACAACCTGCACGGACACTTCTCAAACTTAACGAGCCGACCCATCACGCGAGTGGCGCGTCCCGCCCCGCCCTGCCACCGGTCAGGTCGGGACGGCTCGCTGACCGGGCCGGGCCGGCGGACGTCGGTGGGTATAGTCAGCTCCGTTCACGGCCGTGCGAGGTCGTCGGCGAGGCTGGTAACGGGCGAGTGGCGGCGGCCGCGGCCGGGAGACGTCCAGTCGACGAGAGGGCGGGGGGCGGACCGATGGGAGGAGACGCCATGGGAGCCAGATCGGCGGGGATGCGGATGAAATGCGATCTGGCGGGAGCAGAGGCGGCGGGAATGACGTCACCGCTTCGGAAGCCCACTTCTGTCGGAGGGATCATGGGGACAGAGGCTACATGGTACACGTCGACCACGAACAAAAGACCTGACCAATCGGAGATCACGAACAGAAGACCTGACCAATTGCGGATCACAAACAAAATAACTGACCAATTGAAGACGACGAACAAAAGATCTGACCAATCGGCGCCCGACAACGCACGTGACGCGACAGTTGGTAGCCAACACGCAGCTACAAACATCTTATTCCACAATCTGACCGACGGCGCGGAATAATTTATCTGACACGACAATTTAAACACAAGCGGAATCCAACTACAACGATGCGCGATAAGGGTCACGCTTGTTTCCGGATGAGTAACACTTCTCATGTAGGGATGTAGATGTAGATGTAGATCACATGGGATGTAGATCGTCCCGATGGGAGCAAGGTGAAAGTCTGGCAGGCAGCCTGGAGGGCCCATTCCAGCCAAGTTTTCCCTGCACTAATCTGATTTGCCGTGCCGCCGGCGGAGCCTGCCAATCCTCTCCTCCGCGTTGGCGGCTGGAGGCTGGCGGCTGGCGGCTGGAGGCTGGCGGCTGACGGCTGGCGGCTGGCGGCTGGCGGCGCCGGCGACCCTCTTGACTGCCGGCTGGGCCGTGTGGATTGGGCGAACACGCAGAGGCCGTGGCCGGGCGGACGCGCAGAGGCCGCGGCTGGGAGGACGTGCAGAGGCCGAAGCCGGGCTGCCATGCAGAGGCCGAAGCCAATCGGACAAACGGAGGCCCGACGGACGGGCAGATGCCGGGGTTGCTGTGGGCCGCGGCCCACAAAACGGCCGCGACCCACAGCGGGGGCGGGCCGTCGGCGGGAGCCGCATCCCACCCCGTCAATGCTGCATGGATTACAGGCCTTAAGACGTCGGCGACGTCACCGCGGCCAGACGGCACGTCCGCGGCGACGACACAAGACTGCGCCGCCTCGAGGCGCGACGCCAAGCGAGGAACGCCGGTGGCCAAACCGAGGCGACACGAGAAGGCCGCGGTTACGCAACGCCCACGAACATGGCAGGGAAGGGGCAAACCCGCAGCCGGCCGGCCAGCCAAGGGAACGGGCGCCAAGGGAACCACCGGACGCAGGCCAGAACGGAGACGCCCATCAGACGTGCTGCTCGTGCCACATCAGCGAGGCAGCGCGGACTCTCGGTGATCGCCTCCACCTATCCGGCCAGCCGGCATCCAGCCGGGCGTCGGCGTCAACCCCGAGAACCGCCCCTATCCCACGACAGCCACGACTGCCACAAGGGGGTCCGCACCTCGCCTTGATCCTCCGGCCCTGGCGTCCTGCCCCGTCCACGACGACCCAGATCTCCTCCGGCCCGGACTGACACGCAGAGACCGGCGGACTGACACGCAGAGACCGGCGGACTGACACGCAGAGACCGGCGGACTGACAAGCAGAGACCGGCGGACTGACACGCAGAGACCGGCGGACTGACACGCAGAGACCGGCGGACTGACACGCAGAGACCGGCGGACTGACACGCAGGAGACCGGCGGACTGACACGCAGAGACCGGCGGACTGACACGCAGAGACCGGCGGACTGACACGCAGAGACCGGCGGACTGACACGCAGAGACCGGCGGACTGACACGCAGAGACTCCGGTCCGTTTTCTACCGCAGACCACACGGGCGCGTGGCCGTGCCCCCGGCCCGTGCGTCGCCCGTCGAGACATTAAGCGATCAACCGTTCTCCGCCTGAGCACCGTCCGGTCAGTCGGGCCGGCGACGCGTCTCACGACCGCACGGACGCGCGCCCCGCACTGCGGCACGGCGCGCGAAGCGGCCAGCCATCGACCAATTGACGGCGACAGACGGCGTGCCTCACGGCCGCACGGCCGCGCGAATCGCGCGCTGCGGCGCGGCGTGCGAAGCGGCCGGCCATCGACCAATCGACGGCGACTGACGGCGGCCGGGCGGCCCGAGACCACGGCACTGAACCGCGCCACCACAACCCGGCCGCGTCAGGCAGGCCCCGGCCGTGGGAAATCGACAGCCGCCTGGAGCCGTCGGCACACCGGTCACGAACACAACAGCCACGGGCGAGACCGGGGTCCGCCGCTTCGGACGGGCCAAGACGAAGGAAGCGGCTGGGAACACGCACAGCCATGACGCCTTACGCACCCGCCAGGGCAGGCGCACCCGGGAGTGGTGGACTCACCTCGATCTGAACAGTGAAGGTTGGCGCGTGTGTGGGCCCCTCCTGCTGGATCACTTTGTACTGCAGGCCGGGCTTGAGCTCGTTGAGTGCCGACACGGCGTTCTTGGGCTGGGCCGGCCCGGTGCGCTGCTTTCTTGCGGCGCTGGAGCGCATCTGCCGCCAGGGGGCGCCACGTCAGCCACAGCGCCCGTCCACAGGGGGGGGGGGGGGGGGTAGCGGGTCCACACACACATTTCTGGCCCAGTGAACGTCAGTAAATGGAATCAAATGCGAGCCAGCACACACAACGATGAGAAACCACATATTTGAGGATCCGCTGATAAACCTCCAAGCTTAGATCCATCACAACTGTCCATGCGGGCAGCGGGTCACAGACAGCCTTCGCCGCGTGGTCACTCCACCCAGGAGGATCAATCACAACTCTGCTTCTCCACCGCGCCGACACCGCTGCCATCCTCCCGCCGACCTGACCGTCATCGGCCGTCGGCCCGCTCACGGACACCAGCGCCGACCCGCGCAGTTCGCGCCACGAGCCCCCCCCCCCCCGTCCTCCCCTCCGTCGCGCCGGCACCTACGCCGCCGACGGCAGTTTTCCAGCGATTAGCCCCGGGGCGTCCCGGCCGCTCGCCGAATGCAGCCTCAAACCTGCACAGCTTTCAGCTCGGCAGCTAATGGAGTAAGCCGCGCGCCTCTGTAAGTGGCGCGCCATTCACACCCCCGGACTGAGTCGTTCAGTCGCGCCGCGGCCATGCTGGGGGGTAGAGGAGGGCAGGACAGAGGGGCGCGCGTTGCGCGGTGGGAACAGCGCGCGTGCATGGCCGGCGAGGACGCGCGCCAGGTCGGCGGACATTTACGAGGAGCGCCGCGACGAATGCGCCGCCACACGCGGCGGACGTGGTCATTCCCAGTCAGGCCGAGCCGTCTGTACGGTTCGTGTGTTGACTTGACAGAACCGGCTGTCGTGCTTTTCAGCGTCGCCCCCACGCTTTAGCGCATGGCAGGCTTTACAGCTTACGGCGTGCACGTCAGCAACGTGGGACCACAGCCAAAGTTTGCTTAATTAAGCTGATGAACAGCGCCAGTAGTAAATTGTGTCTGGCTGGTACAATCAAGACCCTGGGTAAGCACATGAATAACCGACTCGTTTAACAAAGAGTCCCGAATTGCGTCTGGGCTGGTCCTAACAGTAAAACACCGGCAAATCAATGGGTAACGTGTTGAACGTTAATTTAAACAGACGGCTATTTTTCTAATTCGGCTAAATTTAGGCATAACACACAAACAGCTCTACACGCTGCTGAAACAAGCATGCGGATCTTTCCTGAAAGCCCATGCCATCATCGTTTTGGCACTAAATGTTTGGAAACCGGCTTGTTTAGTTATTCTGTCATTTCAGCCATCCTGCGTTGGATCTCACCCGTGCACTTCCATGTGCTGTCGTCTCGCCAGAGCCACACAAGACCTTGCAACAGTGCTGGTTCCAGCCCAAAATGTGAGCGCATCTCGGGACTCATCAGTGGGGGGAAGGCGGTGGCCCAGAACCCGACCCTGGCAACAGGCAGCGGTGGCCCAGGACCGGACCCCTGGCACAGGCGGCGATGGGCCCAGGACCGACCCTGGCACAGGCGGCGGTGGCTCACGGACTGACCCCTGGCACAGGCAGCGGTGGCCTGGCAGGGGCCCGACCCCTGGGCGCAGGCAGGGGCGGTGGGCCCAGGGACTGACCCCTGGCACAAGGCAGCGGTGCTCAGGACCCCGACCCCTGGCACAGGCGGCGGTGGCCCCCGGACCGACCCCTGGCACAGGACCGGCGGTGGCATCAGAACTGGCCCCTGGCACAGGCAGCGGTGTGGCCCAGGACCGGACCCCTGCACAGGCAGCGGTAGCCCAAGACCCGACCCCCTCCTGGCACAGGCAGCGGTGGTCCACAAGACCGACCCCATGGCACAGGCAGCGGTGGGCCTCAGGACCGACCCCTGGCACAGGCCCAGCGGTGGCTCAGGACCGACCCTGGCACAGGCGGCGGTGGCTCAGGACCGACCCTGGCACCGGCAGCGGTGCCAAGACCGACCCTGGCACAGGCAGCGGTGGCCCAGGACCGACCCTGGCACAGGCGGCGGTGGCTCAGGACCGACCCCTGGCACAGGCGGCGGTTGGCTCAGGACCGACCCCTGGCACAGGCGGCGGTTGGCTCAGGACCGACCCTGGCACAGGCAGCGGTGGCCCAGGACGACCCTGGCACAGGCGGCGGTGGCTCAGGACCGACCCCTGGCACAGGCGGCGGTGGCTCAGGACCGACCCCTGGCACAGGCGGCGGTGGCTCAGGACCGACCCTGGCACAGGCGGCGGTGGCCCAGGACCGACCCCTGGCACAGGCGGCGGTGGCCCAGGACGACCCCTGGCACAGGCAGCGGTGGCTCAGGACCGACCCTGGCACAGGCGGCGGTGGCTCAGGACCGACCCCTGGCACAGGCGGCGGTGGCTCAGGACCGACCCTGGCACAGGCGGCGGTGGCCAGGACCGACCCTGGCACAGGCGCGGTGTGGCCAGGACCGACCCCTGGCACAGGCAGCGGTGGCTCAGGACCGACCCCTGGCACAGGGGCGGTGGCTCAGGACCGACCCTGGCACAGGCGGCGGTGGCCCAGGACCGACCCTGGCACAGGCGGCGGTGGCTCAGGACCGACCCCTGGCACAGGCGGCGGTGGCTCAGGACCGACCCTGGCACAGGCGGCGGTGGCCCAGGACCGACTCTGGCGCACTTGATGCTTTATTACGCACAGCGCAGCAATCAGAGGAAAAGGGGCGGACGTTTGCGACCTAGACAGGTGAATATTCCGGCTGTAAGGACATCATTAAAAAATTGGCACATAACTAAAACTAAACCATTTAATCTTTTCAATTTAAAAAAAATAATTCCAACGACAACTCTGAAAAACGTATCATAGGCAAAATTCGAACAACTCTAAAACCTATACAAATACCTTTACACGACATAACTGCAGCTAAGAAAATTTCATCGGTAACAATCATACAAAAAATGCCCGGTCATTATGAAACCAAATCTACAAATAGCTCATAATCGACGAGAGCAGCCCGTGATTTCATGGGCCAGATTCAGCCAATGGTAGCTTGTCCATGCCCGGCATCGACGGTGGCCCCACCACCAGCCTAAGGTCAGCACCATGAGCAGCCGTTTCAAGCACCCCGCACGCGACATGACCACCGAGCGCCGCGTAAATCAATAGCTTACGGGCCTCAGCGGTATGGAACGCGCTGGCGAGTACTTCACAGCAGCGGCGCCTGCACTGTAAGCACCTGCGCCCCTGCTCGTGTTGCCGACGCCAGGGGCCCGGCACGGGCACGGGCACGGGCATGGCACGCGGCGCGCGCGGACGACCGAGAGTGGTGACGTAGCACGAGTACTGCGCCGGACCCGAGACCTCTGATGGGGTGTTCACATCCCGGCTGGGGCCGAGCAGGGTCCAAAACCCCCGCCTCGTCAGCGGATCCTCTCCGTATGGCCCAGGTGGACCGCCTCCGACAGGATACAGGGATGGTTGGACAAGCTGAACTGGAATGTTCTTGATCAAAACGTCGATATTTTTCAGCACTGACGGCGATCTTCCTAAACGTAGCACGGGTCAAGCGGAACTGTCCGATGACCCTCCTTAAGTGCAGCAGAGACACCACCAAAGTCAGCTTGCCACCAATAGAAAATAAGCAGGCATAAACAGGACAATCACGAATACACATGAGCTACCTCTGTCCCTGTCAGAAGTTCAATTATCACTAGAATGCATGCAATTCGACTGCATCAACCGCCATCCATTGCACCCTGCGAACAAAGCTAAACAGAGCCGCTCTCTCAACCGTTTTGAAAGCACAAAGCCGTCCGTTGGCGCCGACAGCCGCCGCGCTCGTCAACACAAAGGGCCGACACGGCGCCGGGCGGCCGAGGGCCGGCGCCGCCTTACTTGCACTGTCGCCGACCGGCAGCTCGAGCTCGGCCTCTGATCCGGCCGGAGGAGCGGGAGTCGCTGGCGACGCCGGGCTGGCGCGCCCCTCGGCCCTGCCTCGCCGTCCACCTCGGTCTCGGTCTCGGTCTCGCGCTCGCTGCGCTGGCCACCCATGGTGCGGCGCCGGGCGCCGCCTCCGCGCCCCGCTCGCCGCAGGCCACCGCACTGGCTGGCCGGCCGCCGCCGCCGTGGCTTGCGGCCCGGCACCACCGGCAACCGCCCCGCGTTGCAACGGCGCCCTGCCAGTGACGCGTTACCGGCCGGCTGCCCCCCGGCAATGGCCGCCGCGCCGGCCAGATGTCTGCGCGGCCGGCGGCCGGCGACGCCACGACCGCGCTGACGACTCCAACGGCGCGCCGCACGCTCCGTAAAGTTTCGGCTTTCATGGTCCGTGTATTCGGAACCGGCCGCGAGCCTGCCCGTTATTTCCGCCGTCCGCCAAGGCCGGCCCGCCTTCGCGGCATCCCCTCCCCCTCCAGCCCGCAGGCAAAAGTCAGCATCAGCCGCGCCGGCTGCCGGTACTTACTGTTTGCGCCGTCGCGCTCACCCGCGCCCACGCCCGCCTCGCCCGGCTCGCCCGCCGGCGCGAGCTCGTCGTCGTCGACGCGCAGCTGGAAGAGGAAGGCGGGCCGCCTCGTCCTCGGGGGACGACGGCCGCGTCGTCTCGCCGTCGGAGCCGACGCTGAAGCGCACCGGCGCCGCGCCCAACTCCCAGGCGGGCCGCCGGTCCGGCGGCGGCGTCCTCCGGCTCAGAGCTAGCGTCGGGGTCCTCTGGCCCAGAGCTCGCAGCTGGCGGCGATCCCTCGCTGCAGAGCGCGTGCGAGTCGAGCGGCGGGCGGCGTCCCGGCCTCGCCGGCGGGCGCCACGTCCGCGCCGGCGACGTCGCCATCAGGCGGCAGCTCGGTGATGAGCACGCCGTCGGCCGGCCAGACGGAGGCGACCGCGGGCGGCAGAGGCGGGCGCCGGCAGCGGCGCTGCCAGCCGCTCGTCTGCGACGGTCACGAAGGCCGGTGCGTATAGAGCGGCGTGCGCGACAGGCCGGCCACCGGCTGCCAGCCGCAGGTCAGCGCCTCGAGTCGTTCGCGCGCGCCGTAACGCGGCTCAACCGCCGGCTCGAGCCGGTACAGCTGCTGGCCTCCGCTCCAGCTGCAGCCGCTGCTGCCGCTCGCGCTCGCGCTGCAGCTCCAGCTGCAGGCGACGCTGCTGCTCGTAGTGCAGCTGCTGCTGGCGTTCGTGGTGGTGATACTGCGCTATCTGGCTTCGCTCGAGCTGGTACTGTATCAGCCGCTGGTGGTCCTGCTCAAACTGCACCAGTTGCTGGCGTTCTTTTTGACAATGCACCACCTGCTGGTGTTGCCGCTGTTGGTACTGCGCCAACTGGTGTCTCTCGTGCTGGTACTGCGCACGCTGCATTTGCTCCTGCTGCTGCAAGCTGGTCACGATGCCGCTGCTCCTGCTCGTAACATACCTGGGCCTGCTGCTGCTGCTGCTGCAGATGGTCACGGTGCTGCTGCTCATTCGGTAACACACATGCGCTTGCTGCTGCTGCGGCTGGGAGAGACAGACTAACGTGTGCTGATGCCTCTGCATGACCGACAGGCGATTGTACGCCTCCTCGAGGACGCTGGTACGGTCGCTGGCGGTGGCGGCGGCGGTGGCGGCGGCGACGGCGAGACGACGGCCCCGGCGCCGCCGACGGCAGCGCCGGCAGGCTGAAGGCGTGCGGTAGCATGACGGATGCGTACTTGTGGTCAACGCGCCCCGGCTCGGCGGGCTCAACCAGGCTCGGGTAGCTTTGGGAAGCCATGCAGCGGCGCCGCGCGGCGGTCCGGCCGGCACGTACCCGTACCCGGGAACGGCCGGCGGTCGCATCGCCACGCCATACCCGGAGGAGGGAGGAGGAGGCTGCGGCGGCGGAGGGCGGGTAGCTGTACTGCGGTCCAGCGTCCGGCGCCCAGGCCGACTCGGCCGGCGGCGTCGGCGGGAGGGGTGGCCTCGGTTCCAGCGCGCACGGTCGCCACTTCCGGCGACGGCGGCGACGACCGCAAGCGGCGGAACCTAGGCGGAATCTCCCGCATCTTGAGCCGGGGCAGCGGCTCGGGCGGCGCCGGCTGCCTCTCCGGCGGCCGCCACTCGGCGCGCGCCGGCGGCCTTTCCGACGGCACCCAAACATCCTCGAGGCTGGCGCTGCCCCGCAGCGAGCTGTTGACGTAGACCCGGCTGCGGAAGCCGGCGGTCGGCGGCGGTCGGCCGCCGCTCGGCGGCGCCGTCGCAGTGTTCGGGCCGGCTGCGGCGCGTCCTCGCCGCGCCCACGCCACGGACCAAAGGTCACCCGACCCGGCCAGTGTCTCATTCTGAGCGTCACTGAGAGCTGGCACCGGCCGCTCGCTGTCCCGACCTTGGCCCGAGGGCGGCCACGTGACCCAAGGGCCGGGACACCCCAGCCAGTGACGGCGCGGCGATATCCGGCTGACCTTTGACCGGTCGGTACGATCGGAACTCGCCAGCAAAATAGCACCCCGGCGCCAGACGGGGAAGTGTTGAGTGTCCGCTTGGATTCGTGAAACCTCGCATGGAATAATGAATCTTACAGACAGTAGAATTGGTCAGACATACAGGACCGGAGCCAGTGATAGGGGATCATGGCTATGGGGGCGTGGACAGACGCTGTATCGGTCGCAGCAATACCACTCCTGCGGATGAAAAAATGCATACCCGAATAAAACAGCCTCCGTGGATAGAAACGGAAGACCGAAGATCAAAAGGCGACCGAACCAAACGCCCATCAGTCACAAGACGCAACGATGCTACCCACTGGAAGAACACGCGCAAGCTGCTCAGAACCGTTGGTCGAGGCAATCGAGTCGCCGCTGGATATCCAGCCGGCCAGGCGTGTCCACCCCAATCTCCACACATCGCTCAGCCCGTGCCGACCACGCCTTTCTGCTCCTGACGCTTGTCCACGTCCCGGGGCCCCGCCGTTCCGCGTGTGCGCCGACAGCGGCACGGCTGGCCGGCAGCAGCGATCGCCGCCGCCGCCGCCCGGCTCAGTGCCGAAGCACCGTTCGCCTCAGGGTAAACGCCGCGCGGGTCCGCGCTCCGGCCGCGACCAGCCGGCGGCGACCGGGTCGACGCTGGCGTCACCGGCGCTGGGCCGTGTCAGCGGTGTCATCCGATCGGTTCCCAGGCTGGATGTGAGGTCAGAGCGCCACCGACGACCCCGTTCGCCCGCCATATGGCTCCCTCTACGTACGGCTCCGGTACGCACGCTGTGTTGAGCAGGCACAACCGTTTAAAGAGACGAATGGGACACCCGAACCGCGGTGCGCCCGACAGCTACGACAGCGACGGCCGACTCCGTTCTTTGAACGTCGCAGTCAAACCACGCGGACCACCGCTTCTTCTTCGAATTACTTCTCCCCGTTTGACAGGGGAAGTCATCACTTTACGCTTCGTTTTCTTCCGAGATGGACATTTGAAACCAAACAAAATTGATCGTGAGTGGTCCGAGCGCGGTGGGACAAAAATAGGAATGATTTTCTGTAGACTCGCGAGGCTGCGAAAGCCAACTCCAGGAAGTGGTGTGGTTGGGGCCTGTCCCTCGCCCAGATTGTGCTCCTTCCTCATCTCAGTTAGGGCGACCACGGGACGCGTCAGCCCCGCCCAGTGTTACCGTCATGATAGAGGTAAGCAGATGTTTGCAGGACATCAAATCAATTTTTCGTTTCTTTGCATGCCGATAGAATAACCTGAAGCATTGTGGACGACACTCAACAAAAACGTACATAAATGTCATGATGCGCCGGATGCACACATCCGCCGACGTCATCCGCCACCGTGTGATGCCGTCTAAGAGAGAATCGGCTAATGGTTGTTCAAGAGAAAGGGCCCACCAAGTAACCATCTTTCAAGCGCATGCGCGCAGAGCCAAAGCACCTACCAACTCATGTAGCGTACGTCGTTCTGCCAGATGTGCGCTCTTCATGCCGCGACATCAGCAAACACTCGGTGAGAGCTACGGCGGGGGGGGGGGCTACGGTAGCGTGCTGTGTTGGCAGCGGCCAGTACGGCATTTCTTCTCAGGTCATAGCGTTATGACGCCGCGAGCCACGGCAGACAGCGCAGAAGTGGCAGACTGCTGTTGTTTTTCCGTTATTGTGATTTGAAAATATGTCCAGTATCGCAATTTGTCTCTCGTTCTACGAAAAATGGAGCGAGACAACCTTTTCGTTCGAGTAGGTGATAGAGGCAGACAAGTTTGAGTGATTCTCATCCAACCTATGTTCATGCACGTTGTGGGATATATCGTATGATATGCACACTGGACAATGCACATCGCATCCATAGTTCAAAAACAGCTCACAAGAACGAAGAACAGCACATGCCCACTGAGCAACCTGCCCGAAGAGTCTCACTGGTCCTCGTGAATCTGCAGCGCCCTCGCTAGAGGGAGCTCGCAATCGTTTCCTGTGCCGGGGGTGGGGGAGGGGAAGCCTGACGTCACGTCCGTGTTACAGCGGCTAATATCAGGCAGCCTGACGTCATGTCCGTGTTACAGCGGCTAATATCAGACAGCCTGACGTCACGTCCGTGTACAGAGACCATAACGTCACGTCCGTGTCACGGTGGCCAATACCAGGTGACTTCCAATGCATTTCATGCCCCGGAGACAGCCTCGGCCTTGACGTCGCTTTTGTCAACACACACTGTCGTCGACTGAAATGTCACTGACGACAATTGCCGAATGCTAAAGGAAGTTTTTTCGGCACAGGCCTGGAATGGTCATGGAATTTGAAGCAGGCCTTACGCGGCGCGACCTTCAAGTTGATTGCACGTACATTTTGGCCTTAGTTTCATATCTTTCCATAGGTCAAACTCAAGCGTGGACAGTCAACCGTCGAGAACCTGAACTGGTCCTCCGTCACCCCCCGATTACTGGCAGAAGCTGAGACCAAGATAGAATGACATCCCCAAGGCCGCATCGCTCAGTCGCACTCATCAGAAACTACGGCACCCGGTGGCAACAATTTGGCTAGTTTATTGCCTTGTTCTCCTGAATAAGTTATCGTCGCGCAGGAAGCACCGTTTTAACTAATTGCACGAAGCACGGTAAG